CATCACGATATCAGGTAATGGCATTCTGGGTATGATTATGAACATCGCGATATTGGGTAATGGCATTGTGGGTATGATAATAAACATCACGATATCAGGTAATGGCATTGTGGGTATGATTATGAACATCGCGATATTGGGTAATGGCATTGTGGGTATGATTATAAACATCACGATATCAGGTAATGGCAGTCTGGGTATGATTATAAACATCACGATACCAGGTAATGGCATTGTGGGTATGATTATGAACATCACAATATCAGGTAATGGCATTCTGGGTATGATTATGAACATCACGATATCAGGTAATGGCATTCTGGGTATGATTATGAACATCACGATATTGGGTAATGGCATTCTGGGTATGATTATAAACATCACGATATCAGGTAATGGCATTGTGGGTATGATTATAAACATCACGATATCCGGTAATGGCATTCTGGGTTTGATTATAAACATCACGATATCAGGTAATGGCATTCTGGGTATGATTATAAACATCACGATATTGGGTAATGGCATTCTGGGTATGATTATAAACCTCAAGATATCGGGTAATGGCATTCTGGGTATGATTATGAACATTACGATATCAGGTAATGGCATTCTGGGTATGATTATAAACCTCAAGATATCGGGTAATGGCATTCTGGGTATAATTATGAACATCACGATGTCAGGTAAATACATTGTATGAAATAACATGATATTAGGTAAATGCATTGTGGGTATAAATGAACATGAGGATATCACATAAATGCATTAATGATTATCATATATCGGGTATTTATCTATTACTAGGGATGGTTATCAATGTGTCAGCTCCTTAAAAAAGAAGCAATTCATGAAAGATCTTCATTTCGATGATTTATTAGTATTTGCACCGAATACAGATCTCCATGACAATGTTTTATACCAGCAAGGTGACATTATACTTCAAGATAAGGTTTGTAAATGACTAGTGAATGAAGAGTTCGTTCTTAAGATTTGAAACATTTTGTCAGAATTAAATCCATGTGAACATGTAGATCTACAATAT